AAAAATGGAGAGGTGGGAGAGGGAATCATTGTCCTATACTGTATCATTATTTTAGTTATAATAATACCCGAAGGCAAAAATTTACAATCAAAGATAGTATAAAACATACCAACAATGCATGATTAAACCAGCATGAGATAAAGCATTGACAACAGAAGAAGGAGAATGTATTTCTCCCATTGGTCAGACAAATAAGAATTCCTTTTATTTTCACAGTTTGAAGGTCCAGGTATAAGTAATTGTTCTTTTCTAAACAATTGTTTTTACCAAAGTTTCCAGTTTACCAAAATTTACAAGCCAGGACAACAGGAAATCTCATATGGGATTCAGCAACCTGTTGTATGTTCAACATTGAAGACGTAGAGAGAAAAGAGGAAGATGACATTGGAAAAGTTGCCTAGACTGTTAGAAATATATAAATGTTGAGGATTGATTTGCTGATATCTGAGAAAAATATTTGAAACAGCACAACACACATGTTTAATTGAAACATTAAAAACAGTGATGTAAAATGAAAAGTCAGAGGTAGTAAAAAGGAGACAGTGATAAAGAGTAATGTAGTACCTATTTATCTTGAAGGATCATATTTAGATATTTCACCCTTTTTTCCTTGCTTTCTGCTGGGCCACATATATCTACAATTTGTATCTTACAGATCCAGTTTGAGCTTTGTGGAGTTAATTCACATATACGAATATTTTGTTCCATCTTCTGATGAGATGACGAGCACAAACACACTATAAGTTTAATGCTTCGCTAGTCAAAGATAGTATAGTATAAAGATCGTTTCCACAGGGATTGATACAAATAATAATTCAATTAAATCTTGCTAATTATTATTCAGGTGATCAAAATAAAGGAGTTGATTGTGGTTATGAACCACTTTTATAGACTAAATGATAATTTAAAATCAATTGGTAAATATGAAGATTAATATCAATACTAAAAGATAGGGTACAAGACTAACAAGTGCATAATGATAGTTAGGATTTGACTCATTCATTTACCACATCTAAAGTTCTATCAATTCTCTCGAATTCGATAGCTTAGTAAAGTATCCTTTAAGCCTTAGATTTTTCTTCCGAGTAAATCTCAAGTTAAAGAATAAACCAATTATACTCAAGTGATTTTAATATGCAAAAACATGTTAATGATTGTTCTTAAGGAAGTAACGTCCTTCGACTATTTTTCCTTTAGATTTAATCAATAATTATCAAGAAGCTCCTTTGATTACTTTAGAGAAAATATATTGATTCAATCCAACAAAACTATGCAACAATATTCACCAAGATATTCCTCTTTCGATTAAATAAAATAATGAACAAGGTTGCAATTTAATTCCAATTCCCATAACAAGTTCAAGCATAAGAATGAAAATCAAAATCCCAACAAATTCATCAATACAACATGTTTGTCAAATACCCTCTAAGAATCTACTCCATGGATGGAAATAAGTTTACTAAGAACAAAAGAGAAGGAAAACATAGCCATCAAACTTTGAATCCCAACTTCCGTTTTGGATTCGAGTAGTGTACCGCGTCCTCCTCTTCCTCTCGCTAGTCGTCGCCTTTTCTGCTCCTTTTTCTCCCTTCTTCACTTGGGGAAAGCTCCAACATCATATAGCATAGGATTTCTTCTTCCTCAAATTCCAAAAACACCCTTACTTTTATGTTTTCACGCTACAACTCCACGCAGGTGCACTGCGCAGGCACTTGGTTAATATCTTCATATTTATTTACCACCTAATTTGCGTGTATTTCGATTCTTAGTACAATTTTGTTGAATTACTAAAAATATTTTATGTAAAAAGGTATAAGTAGAAGTTCTTGTAATAAATTAAATATAATCATTAAGTTAATGACTTGACAATTTAAGCTCAATCTAATATATTATCGAACCTGAACCTGCAAATGTAAGGAATCAAATAGTTAGTAGTTAACATCAACTCTAATTACGTAACTTTTGATTTATTAAGAATATAACGTATCCGACCCATTACTTCCATCAAATTTGCTAAAACCAAACTCATTATTTGCATTATATATTATTAGTGTCGTTGTCGTTGCTGCTGCTATTTATGGCTTGATTACAAACTTTGCCTAATTTCTCACCACAAAGCTCGGAATTCCCCTTGAACACGAACTCTCATTGAATCATGATAACGAAACAGGGATTTCCCCTTTCAAGTTGTTATTAGAAAGATGGAGTAATTCTAATGTCAGACTTCTTCGAGGCTGGCGGTATTGGACCTGAGAATTCAATGAGATATTGCAGCTCCATTAATGACGACGAAATTTCATCCGAAAATTTGTTGCCATAACTTCTTCAACGACAACATTTTTTCAAAGTAATCTGAAGGAATTTCACCAGAAAATTGATTTTTCGACAAATAAAAACTTTTTAAAGCACCCATTCGATTGAATTCCGGAATTGGTCAAGAAAATAAATTGCTTAGAAAACTAAGTGTCCGCAGACCAGGCATTTGTGATAATGCCTCAAACGTCTATAATTCCACTCTCCAGATAAATTCGTTTCTGCAAGAACAAGTCCAGTAACCATTTTTTTCTGACAAAAAACACCCAACCAACGTATATTTTTGTCACACGGATCCGTTCCGAGTATTGGAATCGGGTTAATGGATCTTTATTTTACTAAATGGGTCGGATAGAATACTAAATAGAAAGTAAAATTTTACTCCAATTATAATAAAAATATGTACACATGGAGCCTCGTAGACTAATAAAAATGGTGAAACAATACTTAACTGTACAAGGTGCATATGTGCCCAAAGTTGGATAGTAAGGACAAATATACCAAAAAAGTATGACGAAGGGGAAATATGACCATTTTCTAAGAATACAAGGGCAAATATGACCCTTTTCCGATGCAGTTTTAATGGTTTTGAGAGTACTTTTGTTTGGAATGTGAGAACTTGCCTCTTTTTTATTTCAAGTGAATTTGTGAGATTATTTTTCTGGTATTTTGAACTCTCATTTATATAGAGGAGTGCTTATCTCCCTCTTGTGAATTATGTCGCTTAATCGAACCATGTTAAATTATTGTGTTTTTTAATAAATATTTCTCATTTATCTTCTTTTTTAGTGTCTTCAAGGTTTGCTTGTTAGCTTCCACAAGATATCTAAATATTTCGACCCTACCATATATTGATTTCGATATATACGTACCCTACCAAATGATCCCTTCTTGTCTTATAGCTTAATTTGGTGGTTGATCCATTGTCATATAATCCACTTATTACGTTCACTCTCTTAAGTGATTGTGCCACTATATAAATATAGAGATTAACTTTTCTCCACTGATGGTGGACAACAAAATTACACTGTTGGTTTATTTTTAGAAATATTTATTTTCTTTAATATGTTCACATATTATAAATATTTACATAAAAATAATTTAAAAAGTATTATATGGTAACTTAAACTCTAAATTAATTATAGGAGTTTGTTTAGGATTCTTATTTGGTTGTCAAAAATAAGAAGGATTCTTTCACCACTTTCTTGTCCTCGTTATTTTCACCTCGTTCTTCATCAACACCATAGAAGCAATTTGAGACAATCATCAAATAACTTTCTACTCCTTTTTTTCTTTTAAAAAAATTTGGACTAATTAATCTTATAAAATAATTATTCATATCTTATTAAGTGTTCTTTTCAACATCAAAAACTTTTTGGATTGATGCTTCTATTGCTTCAGACTATATCTTCTCTTCTTAGTTCATTCAATCAACAATACAAAAATTAATTTAAAACAAACTTTGATTCATATACTATCATATGTACTCCAATTTATTTAAATAATTCTGAAAGTTGATAGTATCAAAAATATTTGAACGTTCTTTCAAAAAAAAACTTGTTTTAAAAAATAAAAAATGTAAAGAAAAAGAGAAGCTGAAATATCATAAATCTTTAAATGTAAAAATATAATAATTAAATTAAAAGAAATTAGTATTTCTAAAAAGGAACGGACAGTGTAATTTTATTGTCCACTGTTAGTGGAGAGAAGTTAATCTCATAAATATATAGCATCTAAGTATTCTATATAGTACTGATTGATGCTAACTTATTATAAGCAATTTGTTGACGGAAGGTCATAATTTGTGTTCGATCAGTCCAAAAAAAACAAAAAACATAACGTAACGCACCAAAATTTGCTTTAAACTCTTACAGAATCATACTGACTCCATTTATTATTTTTATTATTATTATTATTTGTTGGATGCCTCCATAGAACCAAGAACCATGAGTGAAGACTTCATATGCGTGTAGTAATAAATTGAGCATTATTATTCTGCTAGCTGGTCATGATGCTGACATTACCATTTTTATGGATATTGTTAAAAATTCATTACCAACTTAATTAATATCTAAGACATTTCAAGAATAAGAATCTAAAATATTTCAGTGTTGTAGAGAATTGAAGGAAGATCTTTAGAATGAATGTCGTAGAGAGAAAAGCCTAGAAATAGTTTTAGAATTAGATAGTTAAAAGAACATTATTCTAAAATAGAGTAGAAAATATCATTAGTTAGATTCTTTCAATACCATCTATAAATAGAGGTGATTATTTGAGCTGTAGCCAAGTAAAAAAGAAAAAAAAGCAAGTTAGCAAATAAAAAAACAAGAGTGAGTCATAAGTAAAACGAGTTAAAGCGAGTTTGTGACTTGCTTTACACATGTTTGATATTATACACATAAAATATACATTTATTGTTTGTTGTTTGTTGAGTTTGTGACTTGCCTAACACATGTTTGTTTGATAAGTATACATATGACTTGAATGCAATTATTATTTGAAATCATATCCAAACAGATATTCTAAGGAGAGATTAGATACTCAACATATATCACAAACACCAATTTTTTCTTTTAATCCATCACAAATATATATATATATATATATATCCTCTTATACAAGTAATAATTAATGCAACATTTTTATATAAAAAATTAGCATGGTTAACAAGCATAATATATAATCTATTTTTGCTTGTTTAATCATTCTGAGAATTACTTTTAAGGAGTAACTTGAAGAATTACTTTTCCAACATTGGAGCTAGTAAATAGAGATGTTAAACTCTCCAAAAAGCTCTCAATACCATTATAGATTTTGTGCTTGGACTTTATTTTGCCTTCTTTCAAGTGAACTTCCATCTCCTTTATAAATTCCTCAAAGTGATTAAAATAGGAAGGCACCATAAACCCTTTCATCATAACTTCTTTACCCACCATGTTCAATAAATTCCTAACTCCTTCTCTTTCTGTCCAAACCTACAAAGTCCACGGATTTTTTTTTATAAATATGTCGAGTCAGTAAGTTCTGAATACTAGAACAAAAAATACCTTATTATACTCGGATATCATTCCACAAAGTGCAATACGAGCTCCATGGTTGACGTGATTAAGGACAGCCTCAAGCATTTTACCACCAACATTGTCAAAATATACATCAATTCCATCCGGAAAATATCTATAAGAAAATAAGGTAAATTTTAAGTTATAGAAAGTATTATTAATCCAAAATAAGGTGAAAAAAAGGCTACAAAAATCAAAATAGTTTACTTGGTTAATGCAGCATCATAATCTGTCTCTATACGGTAATTAAAAGCTTCATCGTACCCATATTCTTCTTTCAACAACTTCACCTACAAAAAGATCAAAATATCAATATACGATAATTTGAATATTTATTTTCAGTACAATGGACAAGTAAAAGTGAACAGATCGACAGAGTTATACCTTATGATCAGAGCCTACACTTCCGACAACTCGACAACCTTTAACTTTAGCTAGCTGTCCAGCTATGATTCCAACTCCTCCGGCTGCGGCCGATATGTAAACATTTGATCCCTCTTTAGCATTTCCAATCTTTTCTATGCCCACCCATGCTGTCATTCCAGGCATTCCTATGTAATATACATGTATACCGAGGTAAATTTAAAAGATAATCATTGTCGGTGTTTTAAAAAGCTTTGTTGGGACTCGTCACGGGATGGGGCTCTAGCGAAACACTCTGAGACTCAAGTGTGAGACTTAGTTCTGTAAAACTTACATCCTAACCCGATTGTACGTCCTAAGCATGCACAACGTCCAATAGATCTTATACAAATTATGTTTTAAATTCTTTAGTTAACATTATTGACCCTCATAATTCTTGAATAAATGAATGATAATTAATAGTTTTTTTTAATTTATAGAAATAAGAAGATTAAGAGTAACTCAAATAACAAGTTGCAGTATCACATATTTACTATTTCGAAAAACTGTGAAGGTGACATAACATTTCTTTTAAAAGTACATAGCTAAATTTTACTTTTTCACTTATCATTGATCTTCATGTTTTTGTCTTTGTCATATGCAGTGTTTTCAAAAACATTTTTGGAACGAGTTTCAGGGTAGGGCGTACCAAAAACGCTCCAGGGCGCAAATTGAAGACGTAAATCCATAGGACGTAAGTTCTAGAATTTGGGGCGTAAGCTTCGAAGATAAAAACGTAAGCTCTGGTCGTAAAAAGTACGCTATGGGCGTTAATTATATTTTTGTTTTTCGACCTTCTTTTTTCTTTAAATTGTATTTTTATTATTGGTGTAATGATATTTTTCTCAAATAGTAATTATAATACTTTTTGTCTTCATTATTAGTTATTAATACCTTTTTCAAATAAAAATCATAATATCTTTTCTATATATTATAAGTTATTTATTAAAAAACTATTTATAGAATTATTGGAAGTTTTACTTTTTGTTTTCTTAGTAATAAATTATAAATATAAATATGCATGAAATTACGCTCCGTATATCCATGAGACTTACGCCCTGTGTATCGGAGCTTACGCCTCACCCCATACTGCATAAAATGTCTCGCCTCACGCCTCCACCTTTTAAAACATTGGTCATATGCCTTAAAATTTTCATATTTTATTTAGTTATTTAAGTAATTTTATTTTTATTCATGATGTAGTGATGTTTTTATTATTAATTGGGGGTGTAAATTGTATAGTAGATAATAATATAATTTTAGAAATAATGATTCTTTTATTATTAGAAAATTAAGATATTAAATTATTTATACTGGTATAATAACGTTAAAAATTTTATTTTCTATGAGTTTCCTTGAGATCATGTTTGCAATTATTTCAAACTATTGATGTATTTTTTATAATTTTGTGTTATTATATTACTATACTATAGATCGCAAATTAAAAATTTAAAAATTCATAGAGCTTACACCCCATGTCTCGAGGCTTACACTTCACCCTATGCCAAGTAAAACGAAAAGTTCAAAAAGGATGAGATGAGATATATACCTAAGGAACTAAGATAATCCGGCAAGGCAACTCCATCGCCAGGCTTAATTTTCTGAAGCAAATTAGAAGGCAGAACACCAAATTCAGAAACAGGGCAAAAACGGCTCGTTACTATTTCTCCCTCTGAAAATTTGGCGTCCTTAGATCGAACCACCTTCCCTATTCCAAATGCTCTTATCACCTGCAATTTTTCATATATAATAAAAAAGTTTGTATTCGATCAAACTAAGATACATAAATTGAAACAGAGTGAGTACGTAGTACACCTGACCGAGTGGGATTTGAGGAAGAGAGAGGCCATCATCGAGGCCACTCAATTGAGTGCGCATGTATGGATCAATAGAGACATAGAGGATTTGGAATGCTACATGATTATCGGGAATACATTCCGCTCGTAGCGATAGAGTGACAGTGCGTAGCTTAATATGGTCAGAATTGGGAACACCAGTTGATGCATAACTAGCAACATACCACTCTCTGTTCTCCACTTCTGCCGTAGCCATTTTGTTGGGTAACAATAAAATATCACAATAACGATAATAGTACTGAAAATTAGATAAATATTACTACGATAAGTACACAAAGGCCAGAGGGAATGGAAGAGTAAGTGGAGACAAAGAAAGTATTATTTTCCGTTCTTAATTTCACATATGAATGGGAAGCAATTTATAGGAGGAGGACACTCATCAAAGGGAAGACACTTGTCTTCACAAAAACTTTCAAATGTCACCACTTTTCTTTCAATTACTACATCCTTCTCCAATACTTATCTCAATTATACCGTACGTATGAAATTTTGAGAGTTTATTGAATTTTTAATATTTTTAGTTGATTTTTAGTACTATTTCTATTATGTTTTAGTACTATTTACGTAATTTTCAAATAATATATGTTACACTCAATTTTAATTATGCGATACATGTGAAGTTTCGAGAGCTAATTAAATTTTTAATATTTTAAATAGATTTTATTACTGTTTTATAGTAATTAGAGGAAGTTAAAGGAGACAAAATATTGTAATTTTAGTATTATTGTAATTTAAAAAGTAATTTTTTTCGTAACTAAAGTATATAATAACTAAATATGAAAGTAAGACAAATAAATTGAAACAAAACTACTCATTATACAAATAGTGAAAATGATTGGATAGTTTATTATATACAAACATTCCACAAAATAATTACTTTGTGAGGAGCTTGGGAAATGACTAAGCAGCTAGCTTGACCCCAAGCTCCTCACACTCTCATTTATATTATAGAGTAATATACTAGTTAAGAACACTCGTGCTAAGCACCCGCAGTGGCGGAGTTATAGCCATTCCAGGATATCTAATTTGATATCCTTCGTTTGAAAATTACGATATATATATCAAATTTTACATTTAAAGGATATATATTTAAAGTTTGATATATTTGACAAAAATTTCTAATACCCATACTAATATACAATTACATGTAACAAACATCTATTTTCAACCACGCATTACGCATATGTGGTTGAGATATAGGGTGTGTTGGTATGGAGGAAAACATTTTTCAGAAAATATTTTTCAAATCAACTCATTTTCCTCAAATTTAAGGAAAATGACTTTCCTTCCAAAATCAAGGAAAATATTTTTCAAAACTCTACTTCATCCTTTATTTTTTTTCTTACCCTACCCATACCCCGTATCCGACCCTCCCTATTTTTTAAAAAAAATATTAAATCAAATTTTCAAATATATTTTTCTACCCCCAAACCACCCCTCCCCCCCCCCCCCACCCTCAAACAAAACAATAAAAAATTTAAAAATTATTTTTCAAAATTTAAGATTTTTTTACCTCACCCTCTACCACCCCTACACCTACCCCCACCCCCCCCCCCCCCAAAAAAAAATTGCTTTTGAAAAAAAATTCAAACTTATCCTTTTAAATTTTTTTATGCCACTCCCTCCGGCTCCCCCCCTCCCCAAACAAGGCCACCCCCACTCCCCCGCAACCCCATCAAATTTATTTATTTTTTAAAAAATTATTTCTGGGAAGTATTTTATATTTTTTTTTAAATCAATTTTTACGTCATCCCTATGCACCCCCGCCCCCGCCCCCGGCCACCTCGTCAATTTTATTTTTTTAAGAAAAAAATGTTTTTGGTATTTCAAATTTAAATTTTTCCATTTTTACGCCATCTCTATCCAGGCCATTTCCGTAAAAAAAAGTTTTAAGAAAAAACTATTTTTAGGAAATATTTCAAATTTTAAAAAAAATCATTTTACGCCACCCCCCCCCCCCCCCCCGTCATTTTTTTTTAAAATAAAAATATTTCAAATTCAATTTTTTTTCATTTTTACGCCACCTCTACCCCCGCCACCCCTATCCAGAGGCGGAGCTAGGTGGGGGTTCATGGGTTCGGACGAACCCATTAGCTTTTTCGTAGACCCTATATTTGTATTAGAAAATTAAATAAATATATGTATGTTAACTTGTGAGCTTCCAAACAAAATTGATTTATAATCCCCAAACTCCTAACCTTAGCTCCGCCTCAGCCCCTAACCCACCCCTCACCCAGGCCATTTCACTCAAAAAAAAAAAACTAAGAAGAAAAATTACTTTTAAAAAATATTTCAAATTTTTAAAAAAATCATTTTTACGCCATCCCTACCCCCACCCCACCCCAATCGACCCTGTAAAAAAAAATCTTAAAAATATTGTTTTTGAATTTTTTTTCTTGGGTCGGATTTTGGAATGGTCATCGGGGTCTTGTCCTATTTTGGATGTTGGGCTCGGGTCCTTGATCAATTATCGGAGTTGATTTTCGAATCAGAAATTATTTTCCTAAGAGTATTTTTTAGTCTGAAGCCAAAAAAAGAAGAAGATATTTTCTGAAAAATATTTTTCATTCACCAACTAAACAATAAAAAATATTTTCTACTTTTCAACCAAACATGAGAAAATAAGTTAGAAATACACTTATTTTCCTTGAAAACATTTTCCTTCCTACCAAACGCACCCATAATGTAAAATGTGACAATAAATTGTATGAAAGAGTAGAAAAAACTAAATGAAGCAAAAAAGAACAAACTTTTAAAGGGATGGGCACGAAGAAAGGAAAGAATGAGAGCAAACTACAAATACATATAATAAGAAAATTGCAGATACAGATAGCAAAACAAAACTAATCAGAATGAAAACACTCAACAGGAAAAAGATGAGAATTGTAGTCAAAAGATACAGATATGTTAGGGAAAGGCCACATGTGAGTTAGTTGCGGTTAGTTCCAGGGTCGTGTTGATCATAAGGTCACTAAAGCAATCACACATTTTAAAACCCTACAGTAATAAGGAGATTGTTTTTGTCAGTTAATCGACTTATTTTTTTCATTGTTTTGTTACTATCGATTTTTATTTAATCGTAGCAACTAAGTATTCTATATAGTGATTGATGGTAACTTATTATGAAAAATTTAATTTGTTGACGTTAGATCATAAATCGTGTTCAGTCCAAAAAAAAAGAAAAAAAAGAAACATAACTTAACAAATTGGCTTCAAACTCCATTTGTTTGGCAAGTTTTTGGGGACTAAGAGTTGATGTGAAAGGAGCAAGCTATTCTTAATTTGTTCACATAGTGGCCACTTGACAAAGTGATTCTATTGGAAGTTCCCAATGGATAGCTCCTTGCACAAAAATATTTTTCAAAAAAATGACGTCATTCTTTTCTTTTTAGTTTGTTTAAAAAAATTAATCTTTTTTTTTTTGGTAACATTTTACTTTCAGTTCTCCACATGGCATGTTTAAAACCCCAAGATTAAAGGACAATTTTATACATTTGACATAACTTTAATTTAAAACTACAAGATTCAAAAGTTTTCTTTATTTTCTTAAGCTCAGTGTCAAGTCAAACTAGGTCACTCTTTTTGAAACAGAGAGAATAGTATTTAGAAGCCTTAAGCAAACGGCACTTGCATTTTGCAATCAGATAGTCTTCTCTTAAACGGCAATTGCATTTTGCAATCATATAGTTTTATTTATAATATACAGTTACATGTAGCAAGCATCTATTTTCAACTATGCATATGTGGATAAGATCGAATATAAAAATGTAGTAATAAATTGTATGAAAGAGTAGAAAAACTTAAATGAAGCCAAAATGAACAAAGTTTTAAAAGGATGGGCAGGAAGAAAGGAAAGAATGGGAGCAAACTACAAATACAGAACAAGATAGAAGCTAAAAATATTTTTTGGTGTATTCTTTAAATTTCAAGTATTATAACAAATCAATATTATTTTATTTTTCACATTCTTACTTTATAAAGTCTGCACACATCCTATCTTCACGAGACTTCACTTGTAGATTACACTGAATATATTATAGTATTCATTAATTTACATATGACAACTAAAAAGAATAAGACCTCTCTGTAAAGTTTGGTTTTAGACCCCAAAACTTGTTGAGACGATCCTAGTTCGTTCTTATGTTTAACCCACGTGGAAACCTAATGAGCAACCAAGTGACTGTTAATGGGTTACCTCAAAAGGAAAATTACAATAGTACCCTTAGTCGTCCAAGGGAACTCCCTCTTAATAATTTGGTTATATCATTTTCAACTCGATCATATAAACAAGGTCAAATACATACACAACCCCTTATAATTCATTTTGACACTTTATAGCTATACATATTGGGATGGCAAGCGGTATGGTCCCAACCTAATATTTAACTTTTCCTATTTTGTTAGGATCCGTTTTGCTATGCTATAAACGCAACCTAATAGTTAAATAACTTGGTTATTTATGTATTAATTTTTATATATTATTTGATTTGTAAATAAAATAAGAGTTATTCATATATTAACTTTATAATACGAAGTCTAGTTGATTTGTTTTAAATGTTATAAATGAAAATTATTTATGTATTAATTTACACTGTGTTTGGTTGTGTTTTAGTAATTCTACATAATACTCAAATAACTTATGAGGAAATTTATATATAATTTGATATGGGATAGAAGGTGAAATAAATTATGTAAATATTAGCTATACATGATTAAAATAATAAAAATAAATATTTACTCCACGAGAAAGAAAGAGAGAAAATGGGAAATATTAGAGTCTAAAATCAAGGAACTACAATTGCTTAAGTGACTGAATTTTGAAAAAGCTTGTTAAGTTGGGTAATTAGGTGTAAATGTTGCCATTGTTTTGATATTGCATGTGTGGTTTAGTGATAAAATTGTTTAATGTCATATGAAATACTTGTGTTCAATTTCAAGTTACTATAATTATTTTATATATATTTATGAAAAAACAATTATTAAAACCTACGTCGTTCATCATTTTTTATAAAAAAAAATTATATCAATTTTTTTAATTTTAAAACACAAACAGACATCCCTCAGTTTTAACCGAAATCAACCTTAAACCGACTCACTGACAAAATCGAGTCCGTCGATTTTGGGTTGGTTGTAGGCAAAACAACCAGAGGCCGTCCGTCGGTTTTGACCCTTAATTTTTAATGTTTTTTTTAGCAG